TCAGATCTTCATTCATGCTAAAAATGTACTCTCATGTCTGACTGCACACAAATAAATCCAGCCAGCAAAGGCCAAGAATACTTCAACCACAGACATGAACAAGAGACAAAATCAAGAATGAGCTCAGAGATAGTAGTTTTCAATTTCTCACTCTTAGCAACAAGGCTCTCACAGAGGAGAGATTTTCTGTGCCAGAAAACCTGAATCTACAGCAGCACAAGGGTCAGATTAATACAGTTTATCCTCACTTCATCCCACCTCCACTCTGATAAATAGCTGCACCTTACAAATTCCCCTTCTTGCCTCCACTGCTAGAAGGCACTTGATGGCTTCATCTCTGCTAGCTGCTGCTCCTTCCTGCTCCTAACCTAATGCAGCTGGCAAGGCAGTGGGGAAAGGTAATCCTGTGAAAAGCACATGTAGTGCTTTCAAGACACATCACAGGTAATTTGTGATTGTTGGTATGTTAAGATGCCTATTCTTCAACTGCAAAAGATGTACTGCTATTCTAAAATTGGATTGTAGCTGAAGGCATGACAGAATAACTGAATTGCCTCTCCCTTACCTAGCTAGAGCTCTCAGCTTCAATTTCACCTTAGCTGCTTGCACCAGCTACATTCTGATAATGACTTGCTTCCACAGCCTCTGGGCAACCACAAATTGAGCCTGATGTGCAAATCCTGGCTGTTCATATTGAGTTGCTGGAATGCTTTTCACAAATCAACAGCGTCCTGAATCCATCCATTTTCCCCCTGGTGAATTTCCACTGAGGCCTTTTCACCACAGCAAACTGGAGCAGCTGGCCTTGTCACCTGTACCAGCTGGAAGAGTCACCTGGGGAGGTCACCTGGCTGCTGAACCACTGGCCTGCCTTCCTTTGACTTTAACCTTTGTATCCGTGAAAGCTCATGGCTGTGGGCTTGCTAACGTGAAGGTAGCTCCTCTCTGCCTTGCCTTCCTCTCTGTCCTTGGGCAGCTCCATTTCTTTGTTATTAATTGGCTCAAACAAGATTTCCCCAGACACTTGGGCGGTTGTAGCATCAGCCAGTAATCCCCTAATTCCCTTGGACACCCAGGAGTCCCCTGTGTGCTACTCTACAACTGCATTTTGCAAGTGTTGCACTCCTCCAAATGATACACCAAATCGATGTTCTGTGGTGATCAAAGACGTCCTTGTCCTCAGAGCAAATTCCAGCACTCTTCTGGTACTTTGCACAGGATACAGAAATTGTAGCTGAAATTCTTAAGATGTCACCATCTAAAGCAAAAAGCCTTTGCAAATTGAACTTGTTTTCTCATGGATGGCAGGCTTTGATACTTTGCTGAAATAATCAGCACAAAGCTTGTCCTGAAAGGTTAAGGGGTTCACCCAGACTCTCACAAGAGGCACAGCAGCTCTCACTGGTATTGGGGCTTTCTTGTGTCATGCTAGGAATCTGTACAATTACAACTAATTACTCGTAGTTAAATGAGAAAAATTTCTGGTTCTAACATCCCTGCCAGGGAAGAAAAGACTTTACCCCTCCTTTTTCACCTAAGAAATCTCTCAGCTGGGAGTTGCCAGACAACTTCTTTGAGAGGCTGGAACTAGATGATCTTTAAGGTCCCTTCCAACACGAGCCACTCTGTGGTTTTATGATTCAATCCTTTTTAACTGCCTTTTCAAGTGTGATGTTGGTCTGTATCAGACAGCAGTGACTTCACTGAGGTTCACATAGTACTAAGTAAAACCATATATCAGAAGTTCAGAAAAACCAGATCTGAGAAGATACTTGTTAAAATGTCAATCAAAGAGGCTGGTGATCTAAGTGTAAAAGCTTCTCTGAGAACCATGTCAGGCATAAAATAAAATGTGCAAGGTAGAGCTGTATCATCACCTGTCAGCATCCTGGCCCCATATCTTCCATGGCATCCTGAGCTGATGTTGATAACATCAAAGTTCTTCATTCCTAGCATGGTGGTGAGTATCTAGAGGGCACAATGTTTTATTAACAATTTTTATTTCACAAAATATTGCATGTTTTATTCACAATTTTGGGTGCTGTGAGTGTTTTCAACATCTACCTTCTTGGAGAGGACCAGCAAGAGCTGCCGAAAAACCTTTGAAACGTCACAGTTCCCCTGGGGGCCCCAAGAAATAATGTCCACATTAAATAAATAATTTATTTGGTCCACACCAAACAAACCACAAAGGTCCACGTTTATACAATTTCTAAAAAGACTGAGTGTGGGTCCTGCTTCAGAAGAGTAAAAGGCATGCAAGTGTCTCTGTAGTTGAACATGTCTGTGGATTCCAGGCTCCTTCGTGTGGCAGGAGGACACCAGCTTCTCTCCTGGTCACTCCACTGCCCAGCACGCAGGGGTCACCTTCTCTCGGGCGGCTGCGGATCACCCGCATTTAAAGGGGAGATCTGATTTACAAGGAGCTTTCCGACCCTGGAGATTACATTTTAATTGTAACAAGCTCGCAGATCACTAGATGGCCTCGTAACCTCAGAGATTTGGGCAGACCCTGGCTGGGGCTCAGGAATCGCTCGGTTTAAACCCTTGGCACCCCAAGTGCTGCAGAATCATCACCTCGGGCAATGCACAGGAGCCTTTCAAAAACGCAGAGCGAGAAATTTGGTACACTTTGTCCCACTGGGAAGGTAGAGAACCTTTAGAAGCTGTTTGTAATCCCCAAATCCCAGCAGATGGGACGGGAGGTGGAGCAGAGACAAGGTGGGAGCTGTTGGAGAGTCACAGGGGTCTCAGAGGGAGGTGGGCCCCTTTGGGGAGATCTCTGTGAACCCCAGAACCTGGGGAATTGGAGGGGGTGCAGATGGGTTTGGCTCCTTGTCCCACACCAATGAGTCCCAGTCACTGCCACGTGAAAATGTGGCCACTTCGAGGCCTCGGAGGAAACAGCGTTTGTAGTGTAGGTGTGCCTTACCTGCCTTACCGAGCTGTGCCCTCGGGGACAGCAACAACACAAGGTGGGAAGGCCCCTCTCCTGTGCACACCGGAGAGGGTCTGGGGAGACAAGAAAAGGGATCTTTGGAGCAGCAGAAATGCGAACGGGACATGGAGCAGGCGGGATGGGAACAGCAGAGGAGCGGAGAGAGGTCCCGCTCGCCCCAGGGGCAGAGCCAGGCCTGGGCGCTGCCTGTGGGAGCTGCCGCTGTCTCCGAGAGGCTGGACAGCTTTCCCTGGCCCACACCGCATTGACAGCGCCCTTGATCTGATGCGCGAAGGGCAAAATACACCCCTCGTTTTCCCTGCCGCTCAGCTGGGCCGTGTGTTATCGCTGCTTTTCCCGCGCGGATTTTATCAGCGTTTTTAAACGCAGAGCTCGCTCGCACTGACGCACGTCTATCAGAAAAGCCTCTCGAACGCATCGGGAGCGGAGCAAGCCCAGGCACCGAGCAGGGCTGCGGACTGGGAGCGGGGCAGGAGGGCCAAGAGCAGCGGCCCGAGCTGCAGCGGAGGCCGCGGGGCCGGCGGGGCCGGGCGCTCCGGCGCTGCCGCTTTAAGGGCGGGCGGGCGGGAACGCGGCCCGGCCCCGGCACAGCGGCGGCGGCAGCAGCAGGTACGTGCGGGCCGGGAGCTCCGATCGAGCCGGGCAGCGGGCCCGGCTGTCCCCCTGCCCCGGCCGGGAGCTGCCCGTGCAGCTGCCGAGGCCTGTGGCTGCTTTGCGGGCGGGCGGCGAGGGCGGCGCGGCGGCCCCGGCAGCTCCGCTCGGCCCGGGGCGCGGGCGGCGTGTGGGGAGGGCTGGCATCCCCCGAGGGGATGGGGCTGGGTGCTAGGGCTTCAAAAAAAAGAAAGAAAGAAAAAAAAAAGCTTAAATTGTATAGAAATTGGGGTTTGATTTAGGTTTTTTTTGGCGGGGGGGGGGGGGGAGGTGAGGTTTTTCTTATGTGTTTTGCTAGGTTTTGTCTTCTGGTCCAAGTTCTACTCGCCCATTGATTTATAGTAAGACAAGCAGTAGTGTCACATGCAGGGATATCCACCCTGATTTTATTCCATGTAAAATGGATGGGCCAGCAGTGTCCAACACAGGGATGTCCATCCTGTTATCCATCCTGGTTTTATTCCCTGTAAGATGGATGGGCCAGGAGAGTCAACACAGGGATGGATGTCCATGATGCCTTCCCTCACTAAGCATTTAAGCTCAGTTTGGCATCGTGAGTGCTGAGCTCTTGGCAGGTGTTTCTGTACCAACAATTAATTTCAGGAGAGTAACCATCGTGACAGACCATGCAAAATAAACACCACAGGATCTCAACCCTGCTAATTTGCAGCAATTCGTGGAGAAAAGCCAGCATACAGCATTTACTGACAAGATTTATCTCATCTCTCCAATTGATTGCAGTTAACATCATGCTTCCCTTAGGCAGATGAGGATTATAGAGATCTGCCTTCAAGAAGGAAGGCATTTGCTAATTGCATTCATTAATTACATGGACTCTGCTGAATGGCATTCTCCAGTGTGGAAAAATGCAAAATGTTTGATCATGTGTATTTGTTTGTAATAGAAACACAAAGCCTTTAGCCAATGATTTAAACAAGATTTAGTAGGAATATCAGCCTAAAAAGCGAAGTGTGAAGTTCACAGCTTAATGTTTGAGTAAGTGATGAAACTAAAGCCAGTACTTAAAGCAGAGGCCAGCACACAACAAAAATACAGTTAAACACCTATGAATTTTATTCTAAAGATACAGACAAATAAAGAAAAACGGATCTAATTAAAGTGTTAAGACTGTTTCACTGACATATTCTTCCTGTTGTCCCTTTGTCTGGTTTTAAGGACAACCTGCACAGCTTGAAGTTGTCCATGATTCTTTTGTTGTGAAAAATTGTTGGGACTGGGATGAAAGTTTTTATTCGTGCGTTATTCTGCTGGTTTGTAAAAACCAGTGCAGAAGAGAGAAAACATGTACAAAACAACGAATTCAGTTTCTTGTTTGTTTCTCCTTGGTCGTCAGTTTCAGGGGAGGTTCAAAAGCCGTGCCCTGAAGCAAGGAAGTCTGAGTTATTGAAAAGAAATTAGAGAGCAAGGTGAGGAAGGAAAAAGGATATGGAAATACTAATGGATGGGTGAAGGAGATCTAAGCAGGGAGGATGGAAAACCTTTCCTCTCCCTTCAGGCCCCTTCTTGCTGAGTGTACTCTCAAGATCAGCGTAGGAAAGGCCCAGGGTCTGCAAGAGAAGGTGGGTGAGGAAAGTTTGGTGATAAAGTGCTGAGAGGCTCTTGCTTTGCATCTCAGTGTAGTACTGTGGCTCTCCACTCTCCATGCTCTTGATTCTTAAATGAATCTAAACTCTTACACACCAATCTTTCATTCCTTATTCATTACCTGTGTGAAGTGTACTACACACCTTGAGTGGTGTGACAAGGCCGTCCAGTCCAAATATTTATCCACCTTTTAAAAATGAATTTAAATGTGCTGGGTTCAGTTTCTCTCTTCAGACAGCTTAGAGCATGTTTATATAGTGTCTCAGAGTGGGCTACAGGGATGGAGGCCTGCTTTGTTCTACAACTGACAGCATCCACATGAGACTATTGCACCACAAGACTAACCAATCCTCTAATGCAGTGAATTAGGACTACTCTGGTTAAGATCAGTTTTGGGTTTTTTTCTATTTTTGTCAATTTTGGAGCTGGCAGATGGATAAATCTTAGGGAGAGAGAAGAATTCCTTTAATTGCTTGCCTTTAAAATAATGCTTTTGTATAAGGATTCATCACCATTATAAAACTGTTAATTAATGGTGTCTCTTCAAACAACCTACTGATAACCACTGCTATGTCCACAGGCCCTGCAATGCCAGAGTCTTCCTGCAAAATCTGAAGATTCAGTGGAAGAACCCAAAATGGGAGTAGATTGCTGTGTGTATATCTTGAGGGCAGAGGGAGAGAGATGTTAAAAGGTTGCACATTCAATTTTTAGATCTGGCTGTCCCACTAACTGGTTGTTTCTCACTGGATAAGTTCAGAGTACTCTTCTGAATGGGTTCTTGATAGCTTCTTCCTTGAATACCACTTCTTTCAGACTTAAGACTGGGCAGGGGCAAGGCACAAGAGCACAGGGATCTCCTCTTCTTAAAGCCTTGAAGTCACTGAAGAAACATCAGTGACATAGCATTTTTCTCCTTTCAGGAATTGTCATCCATCACTATGAACAACAACATCCTGTGAGTTCGTTTCCAACTTTCTTCAGATAAGCTGTGCTCCGAGTTCTCCTGAGGAAGGCTGGTGTCCTTGGGCAAGCATGGCCTTCCGTGGCTGGAGGTGGCTCCTCCTCCTGGGCAGGCAGAACACCCTAGCCAAGGTGTGGAGAAGCAGGAGGGGAGGCCCCTCTGTGTGCTGGCAGCGCTGCTGCCACTGGAGCTCGGGCAAGGCTCTGGCCCCCGAGGTGAGAGCGTTTCTGGAGGAGAACACTGAGGTCACCAACAGCGGGCACCTCACGCCAGAGATCCGGCTGCGCCTGCTCACCCCCCGCTGCAGGTTCTGGAGAGAGAAACCTGACCTGTGGCCTTATGGGGACCCATTCTGGGCAATTTACTGGCCAGGAGGCCAAGCCCTCTCCAGGTATGCAGCAAAATTCACCACAGCTGATAAGTGCAGTGTGCCAGGATGTCAGACCTGGCTCTGTTTCTAGCAATTCCTAGTGATGTGTGATTGCCTATTATGGGTGCATTATTCATCCTCCTCTCTGCTTATACTGGAGTGTGCCAGTCCCTGCTGGCTGGCAGAGACTTCAGCACCTGTTGTGGAAAATAACTTGTGTCTTTTAAATAGAAATTTGTTATAATCATGGCTATGCATGTGCTGGCAACGGGGCTGAATTTGGATCCATGAAGGGCTGTGCAGATGCCATCAAAACCTAGTGAGGTGTTAATTCTGTCACTCCAAACAAGAGGATTGCTATTTTGTCATAAAGTGAGTGTATGGGTTTTTTGTTGGAGTGTGGATGTGCCTCTGTTGAGAAAAGTAGTTTAATGCTGTTGCACTTGGAGTGTTGGTTAGCCTGAATAACTCTCCTCATCTAGGATTCAGCAGCCTTATTGTCGTGACTTTTTGTGGCTTTTAGTCACATCAGAAGGCACATTTGATTTTGGCTGCTGATTGTCAAAATGTCTTTAAATGTTCCTGATTCAGAAGAACTAGAGTTCTTTTATTTTGTGAAATCAAATCTCTCATTTAAACCACAGAAAAAAAAAAAAATCTTAATTTTTACAGCAGAGAACAAGCTGTCAGAGAGTCCCCACATAGATGAAAGGGAAGAATCTGAATTGGGGCGTTACTGTTTTTCTGCAAGAAAGCATAAATAAGAAGGCAGTTTTGACCAGGTAAAAGATGAGTCTTACTGTTAAATTATGAGTTGATCATGCCATGTAGATGAACTAGAGTGCTCCTAAACATTGGGTATATAAAATAGATTAGCTAATTTCTAAATTTTCTTATCATTTATATACTTGGATATTTGGGTAGCAGTAATAATTATCTGGCATTTCACTACTTTATTGTCTTACTGTTTATGCACTGGTTTGATGTATTAAGAAATGTCAGAAATCAGTTGCATAATTTGGAAGAGTAAAAAGGGAGCACAAAGACACATGGTTGCCCCCATATAACTGTCCTCCTATCAGACCTGGCATTTCCACAGCATCAGAAGTCTCCTATTTCACACTACTCTTGGTGTAATCCAAGATTGCTCATTAAGCCAGGAGGGCAGAGACACTGTGTGCACTGTGCCAGGGGACACAGCAGCATCCAGCTGTCCTGAGTCACCCAACCAGCAGCAGCAACTCAGGAACCACTCAGCTGGAAACAAGGCATTTGCAGCATTAGGGCCACATCACACCCTACACAAATTACTAATGGAAAGTCTGGCAAATCCCAGAAGGGTTCCTGGAAAGGAGAAACACAGCACTTCTGTGGAGATCCCACGCCTGTCCTTGGTCCTGGTGCTAAACTAGGGGCTGTACTTAGGGGAGTGATGGCCTTGGGGAATGCTGTTAAACATCTGAGCTGCTGAGCCTGGACACAAATGTCATGCACTGGACAAGCTTACTAAGCCTCTTGGTGCCATTCCTGCTGGTGCTTCCAGGCCCAGACATTTCCATCCATCCATTCCCACTGTACACCAGTCTTAACATTTCTGTGACAGTCATCTGCACTGGAGTCCCCCTGCAAAAGTTGTGCCCACCTCTGATGCCTGTGAAGAGTCAGCCATCACTCTCCCTGTCAGAAGGTAACACAAATGTAGAATTCATATTTCTACTTCAAAAGTAGTTATGGAAATTGATAGTAAAATTATGGCAGTTTGCAGTAATTCATTTCACCCAGTGCTCTTCTCCCTGACACCTGGGGCTTTCCCCTTGGCAGCAAATTGAATTTCATGGCAGTTGTTAACGTTTTGAACCCTCTGCAATAGTTACAATATGGTTCATAGTATTTAACAATAACTGCTACTTGCCTCGTGTCAGTTCTCCACTTCCAGCCTAGAGGTTTTTCAGGATTTCTCTTGGCAGGTGTCAGCAATTAGATGAAGATAGCCTTTCTGCTCACTACAGCTCTAGTCTTTTTCTCATTGCTACTCAGGAACAACACTAAGCAGTCTCAAAGTATTTGCATCTCTATCTGCATGGCTCAGGAAAAAAAAACAGGAGAAAATCCTCTTCTTCCAAGCAGTTGCATAAGCAGTGTTTCAGATTGGTGGGTGGGCACCATATTCACTGTGAACATATTATGTTTTTTCAGTCAGATTGCTTTTAATTTCTACAAATCCTTACTTCACTATTTCTCATGGATTCTGATGAATTCTAGTTACCTAGAAGTGTCTACTTAACAGATAAGCTCACCTGTCAGAGAAGGAGCTGATTGACATAAAATGTTGCTTACTTGGCTGAATTTCTTTTTGTTTGTGGGTGGGGGAGGACACTAAGGGAGAAAAATTACAGTCCTTGATTTTTGTATCATCTGAGACAAATAAGGAGTTTTATGGCAGCTGCACATGTGGAATAGTATTAAGGTACCACACTTCATTACATATTTGGCAAGAAACTTACGCAGTGTACTGTAAACCTGAGAAATTTGCATGCTCTTGTTCACTGCTTTAACAGCTTTTCTTTTTCAGGTATATTTTAGATAATCCACGCGTGGTTAAAGGGCGATCGGTTCTGGATCTTGGAAGTGGATGTGGAGCAACAGCCATAGCTGCTGTGATGAGTGGTGCATCCCAAGTCCTTGCCAATGACATTGACCCCAGTAAGGCTTTTTTCCATCTCTGTGTAAAGATACTTACTCATTTTTAAAGCACCTTTAACACAGACTTTTCTTTGCTCCACTTGGGAGAAATTCAAGATCCAAGCAGAATCCTAAGAATGCTACAAAGAGGAATGGGTGTTGCCAGTACTGGAAGCTGGGTTGTACCAGCCTCTCTTGGCCCAGGTATCTCTCCATAGCTCCTTAGAACAAACAGCAAACTTTCTGCCAAGTGTTGCCCATACACCACCACAGCTGGTTTGGATGAGAACTCCAAGCACAAGCAGCAAGTTGGCTTCTCTGTAGGACCACAGCATTTCCCTGTACTTTCATGTACATCAGAGCCTAGATTTTGCCTTTTTCCTGTAGGCTTTGTCTTTCCATAATTGACTTATGAATACAGCTTATTCATAATTTACTCATTAGTTAGGAAGGAAGTATATCCATAGATTAAGGCAGTTATTATATTCTACTTCAATTCCATGATTGGTTTCCAGTGGTATCCATTCTAGGAAAGCTTGTTCCCTGTGTCATGGGTAATGAGAATAAAATTTCATCACTTCATGCTAGATTTTGACTCATAATAAAAAACTGTGGAAGCACCCTAGATGGGATGAACAACATTATTTAAGAGATGAAAATGAAAAATTTAATCACAGAAATATATAAGAGGGCTGAATAGCAGAATCCTAAAAAGTAACTTTAATTTTCCTTTGACTTTTCTTCAGTTGCAGGAATGGCAATGATCTTGAACTGTGAACTGAACCACCTGGATCCCTTCCCCATCACCATTAAGAACATCATTAATTCAGAGGCTGGCAACTGGGACCTCATAGTTCTAGGAGATATGTTTTATGATGAACAGCTTGCTGATGGTCTGCATCACTGGCTGCAGAAGTGCATCAGGATTCACCAGACTGAAGTGCTGATTGGTGACCCTGGCAGGCATCAGTTTTTAAGCCACAGCATTCACAGCCAGCTGCACAAAGTTATAGAATATTCACTGCCTGAGTCTACGAGACAAGAAAACTATGGGCTAACATCAAGTATTGTCTGGAGTTATCAGCCCTCAAACAGCTCAGATGATTCTTGAAGCTGCCTTTCTATGGGATTTTGTCTCACTTGATTGGCTTTCTGCAGGTATATAACATGAAAATGGGAATTAAACAGTAAAGCAGCTTTACTGTACCTTCACTGGAGTGATTTCAATCATACTCACTGAGGCTTTTGCTCAATTTGATGTAAAAGCTACATGCAAACTGTATTCAAAGGGGCCTGCACTGAAGTGCAGATCTACAGACAACTTACACGTAGGAGTTTGCATGCTTGATGTTTCCTATGTGTATTTGTGTCCTGCTGACATTACTGTGAAATGTTTTGGATGTCCAACATACTGCTGTGGGGAGAGGGCTGTGGCTGAAGGACTACTGCATTGCTTCTACAGGTTTCTGCAGCTTATTTATAGAAAATTTCTAAATATAGAAAATTATGGCTGTCCTCCATAAAATTCTCCACTAGATTTTTAGCTCATAATATGCTCAACTTGAAGTGCCTTGCTCTTTTTCTGGGTATCTCTTCTGAATGTCAAAGTAACTAATTTAAATCTCCCCCTTTCCCTCTATAATAAAAATTTCCTCTTCCTTGAAACTGACAGAGTGATTATGTAGGAGTTGCACCCAAATTTAAACTCTGCTTCTTGACTGCCAGCCAGTGTAAAAGCTGTAATAAATGGAAAGTGAATAAATAGTACCAGCTATGGGGTACCTTCATTCCCTTGAGAGTAGGGTCAAATGATCTACCTTCCCTACACTACCCTTTGCAAGGGTAAACCAGGTAATTTGTCACCTTGGGAAGCTGCTGAGGGATGAAGAAGTCTTTACTTCTCTGACAAACAGAGGGCAATGAAATAAAAACAGGGAATGCAAGTCTGATAGAATTATTTTGCTCTTCTCCTGAGGAGATGCTGGACAAACTCCAGAATCATTCTCAGTTTTATCTGCCAACTAAGAACCAGTTTCATCGGCCAAACATGGTACAAAAAAAAAAACCTGATCCTCAGGTAAGATGCTCTAACTGTGGCCATTTGAAGAAAAAAACAATCTTTTCAGAGCAGTCTTAGAGGAAGTGTCAACTTGAGCAGTCAGTCATTGAACAAGCAGTGATAGGGAGCTATAACTGCACCATAGCCCACTGTGCAGTGGTGCCAGGTGCTGTAGTGAAAGCTTACAAATGTGCAATAGTGTGTGGTACTCACTCAGAAAACCATGCCATTCATGAAGTAGGAGGTTTAGGAGCTTAGTCAGACATACATGGTTCTATAATCCAGCAAGTTTTCAGAACTATCCAAACAGCCAACTTCTGAGCTTTAATCTTCATAACAATATGTGAATATTCTGCAAGGCTCACAAGAATAACAATGTCCAAACAATAGAGAATATGAAGTGGCAAGCACAGCCATGAGGTTCTTCTCCCACTTCACCCAGTACTTGTAAACATTTGTTGAAAATTACTGTGAACCAAAAAACATTCCAGTAGTGTTATGCAAATACTAAAAATATAAGCTCTAATGGTGAAGGATTTAAAGTAACTTTAAAAATAAACCTAAAATTACAGTGTTACCTCATTGCAGTGTTGAACAGCTTTTTAAGCACCAGGTGAGGATATACCACTAAGTTACACACTGAGAAGAGGCTGTAGGGGAAGATGGTAAATCTACAGGCACACTTAAAGACAGTATAAGCTGCAATTGCCTTCAACAAGTGACAAATCCAAGGTTATATTAGCAAGGAGAAAAAGGACAACTTTGCCACTGAGGTTAGCAGTAGAATTGTTTCACAGAGCTGCCTAAACAGCTGTATGATTCACTATCAAAAATAGTGCAACACAGATTTATTGTCCAAGAGTTCCAAGGAATGATGGGTCCTGATTGATCCCAGGGATTCCACAGGGCATAACAATAAACTACTCCTCAGAAAAAAAAAATTAAAAAAATAAATAAAACCTGGTAGATTTGGTTATTAGGCCTCTATCTGGTGCAAGGATTTGCTGCAGTGACAGCTGCCAGATGCTTGTGGCTGTTGTAGCAAAATCAACTCCTTCTACCAATGGTTTGTACTGGTGCAGTTACACCCACAGGGATCACAGGAAAATATTCATTACTGGGCTGAGCCATGCAACAAGAGTAAGGGATTTAGGTGCTGGTCCTGGAAAAATATGCTTTTACTGACACCTGAACAACCTTTCTAAACAGTCTTCCACTTTCATAAACCGTATAATCAACAGAAAAACAAAGATTATTGTCAGACATCATAACATCATTTAATATTGGCAACAAAAATTACCTTCCATGCAATTAGACCTGAACTTTAAATAGATTAATATAAGACTAGTTTATTTCTGCAACACTTAGGTGTGGCTATGACAAGCGTTAAATGCTAAAGTAAACATATTCCTTATGGTTGCCTAAACTCTTTAGGTTTCCAGATGTCATCAAATCCATGTTAGACCACTGTAGCTAAACCCTTCTACTTCCAGATCCAGAGGATGAACCCAGTGTGCTCCATGCCCTTATAAAGCTAAAATGGCTGGCATCAAGGAGCTAAATGCAGAAATCCTATAACTCTGACTAGTGGTTATGCTGGTTCAAGAAAGCCAAGGAACATGACTTACAATTGTGATGAGAGCACTGCTCCATCAAGTAATAAACTCACTCTACAGTTCAAAAATTATTTTTTAGTATTACTATAACTGAACAATAAATTTATTTATATTTTCAGCTTCTGGGGGCCACAGGATATGTAATGAACTGCATGCAGCAGAACACACTCTACCATCCTGAGATTTATGGTAGACACTCCATTTGGTCCTATTTCACTCACAGATATGCTTCAAAGTACCAGTGTTTTGTTCCCTAAAAGGATTTTCATGTAGAAACAGGCAAAAGCCAGGGCAAATTAAATATTTGCCCACATATAAAATCCTGTTCTTGGTCACAGCTACTACTCTGAAATTTGTAAAGTCACCATAACAACTCCAAAGCGAGTTTATGTTTACACATTGACAGGCTGTACTTGAGGATGTGTAAAAATCCAGCAAGTATTTGATGGTAAGTAAGAACAGAAACCTGCAGCATCAGTAACATCAGAAGGTACCTATGTTTTTTACTCCAGACCTAGCAAACATACACGGTAAAAGGAGATTCTTTGTTACTACTGCAAGTACATTTGTCTCACTGTTAATGCCACCTCCATTCACCAGTTCTGGCTGCTGATTTTTTTTAGATTCAACTCCCAACTTCATAGACACTGCTGTGTGTCAATGTTAGATTTGAACTGGGTACTTGTAATTTTAAGTACCATCCCAGAATACAAACTCAGAACACACACTTACCTAAACTGAGTTTGTGGCTAAATTGCTAAAGGATGCTAAGTAGCAGCCAAATCCAGCACTTCAGGAAGCCTGAGCAACAGCCCTGTAATATTAATAATAGTTTAACTTTCCTCTTAATGAAGTATGATCAATGCAAATACAGGGCCCCAAGGAAAGTCAATGAGGAAGCCCAGGCTCACGGGCAAGGACTGCAATGGCAATGGAGACCTCCAGTGGGAAGCAGGAGGGATGCAACCTGCTGGAACAAAAGTCACCAGCTAGTTCTACAAGGTGCTTGTTTACTGAAGGAGCTCTCCACCTGTAAACCTGACACTCACATGTACAGGATAAATAATCAGTAAACAGTCCATGTTACTTGCTTGATTTTGTTTGATATGATGAGTTGCTCTAAAGCATCTCGAGACCGATCTGAAAAAGAACAAGGGAATTTCTTGTTATTCATTCAGAATATAAAGGTGGTATTTGGAATAGGCACACAACACAGTAAAGAAATTCTATATCTGCATTTATATTTATTTTGCTATCACAATATCACATTTCAGATACATGTGTAGTAATTGAAACCCTCTTGGTTCTTTTTCCAATCATCTAACTGTAACGCATCACCAACTGTACCAACTGTAAAAGACACCCATAGGCTGTCCTACCCCATTCCACTTTTCTTGAACTGGTGCTGTTCCACTTTTGGAATAGAGTAGGGGTTTAAGATGCTAATATTGTTCTGAAGTCTTTGGGTCTTCATCAGCATGCTGAAGGGGGAAAAAAATACCATTTCCAAATGAACAAAAAAAATCACCTCTCTGAAGGCTGCTGCCACATTTCAAAGCAAAACTCTCACCTTGCTGTGAAAATCTCAGTGTATGATGATTATTTTAACCAGTAAGTTATTATTTGTTTGGGATTACTTATGGAGTACAGTGTGCTTTTCAGAAAGCAAGAAGGTATGATCAGCAAGTAATTATCTTCTTGTGATGAGACCTACCTGTTATCAGTGGGCACCCATGGAACAGGAAAATGTGTATCTTGGGACAACAAGTAAGGACGGCTTCCACGGCAATGTCCGTCAGATTCACACAGCGCTCCATGTGGATCTCCTGTTAGGAAAACGGGAATAACAAACATTCATTCCTGTCAAAGCCTGTCAGAGCAGCCAGAGTTTTAGAGGAAAAGCTTTCCTTTGCCCAACCCATTTCAGAAATCCCCAACCAGAAGGAATTACAGCATTGACCTCATATGTGGTCCTGTACAGAGCAGGAAAATACCCTAAGGAAAAATAAGACAGCTTTTCTGTAAAGAGTCTAAACTAAAAACAAAGTGTAAGAGCCTGAGATGAGAGATGTGGGACTCCAGGCAGCTCTTCAAAATGCTCTTTATTGTATAGGAGATGTTACAGCAGTCTCAGGTCATGGCTAAGAGAGCCCTGCCCACAGCTGCCAGCTACAGCTATAGGCAAGCCTGAAGCCACTTTAGTTTTGCTTACAATGTGTTATAGATTTTTCTTTGCTGAGCATCTTAATACATAACAACCAATCAGCATAATTCACAATATCTTTACTATTACCTATAGCCTATCACAATTACTATCATTTGTCACCCTGATTTTTTAAGATTTTCTAAGCCTTCTGATGTTTATATTCTTGTAATGAACTTTCTCACACACTTCATGTAAATAACTTACTGTTTTGCCTTCTTTTATGGAGGAGGAGAAATTTGATGGACTGTTGATTTGTCCAGTGTCATTGGAGAGGTGGCACTTTCACCCTCCAATCCACTGCCACTTTTGGAAATCTATAAATATTGGAGTCAGAAAATAATAAGTCCCATTTTACCTTGGAAAGAGCAGCGAGGCCGCGTTGTGTTGTTCCGTGTCCTATAGTGACAATCATTACCCTATTACAGTCATTCCTACCCAGCCACAAGAGTTAATATGTTACAGTTTAAGCTTTAAGCTGTTTTTCTGTTTTCTTGCAGTAGAAAATTCTTAGACCTTTTTTCTACTTGCCACATTGGCATGTTTGTTTGCCTATGGTATCTTTCCTCTTTTCCTAAGACCTATTTCTGCTTGGTAAAAGCATCTTTTTTGTTTGTGATCAACAAATCCTTTGTTCTAGCCATAAAACCTCCTTCCAGCTTGACTTAACCTTTGCTTTCTTAGCTGTCCAGTAACGACTGGCTCAATAATTTTCAATTTAGACATCTATTTTTCTTCTATTTCAAAACTTGCTTCCATCTCTATTCTGTTCTCAGGTTGTACATTCAGAGAGCTTTCTGCCAAGCATCCATATCTGTGAAACTTTGATCTTTGCCAACATCAAAGGTGAATTTTTCCAGCACACACACAGCACTCAAGACATCTGAGTAAACTCTTCAAGGAGATTCCATGGTGTTTGAGTCCCATCACTTTGACTATGACATTCTCCTACCAATTGGTTGTCCAGGAGAACAGAACCCAAACTAAATTCTGGTGTTTCCCAAATTTTCCCAAAACAGCCTCTGCTGAAGTTTCTGGTATTTCTATTTATCTACATGGCTCCTAAAAGAAATCAAAGAACTTCTTCAGTATTAGACTAAACCCTGCTCTTTTCTTAATTTCTCTGCAGCTGTACAACTACTGCCTCTTGTACATGCTAGGAAAAGATGAAAAGCAGAATAACAAAACAGGTTATTACCAACTTTTTTCCCTGCCTCTGAATTGCCTTACCTATCAATAAATATAATATATAAGAAGAAATTTGGAAAAAAGACCATCAAATCTAGTAAAATTAGGATTTGGTAAAATATACTTTGGAGATTGTAGGATAAAAGAAAAAAAGCCATTGTCTTATTGCAAAGTCTTTCCAATTTATAAACTCCAAGGATCTTGAAAGAGGACAGAAATGAAAGTCAGTCAGTAAAAACCCTCCCTCCTAAGTAATGCTGTTGATAATAGTAATTATACTTTTTAAATGCAGGTATTTTCTTTTGTTCAGCCCTTTGTTATTAGGTTAAGTCAGTTACCTTTAAATTCTTTGAACATCTTCCACTCACTAGTGCTACAACGCCATCATCTGTTACCTGAGGGAATAACCACAATGGATTAAAGCTCAATTTTTTCAAGCACAGCTATTTAGATGCAAAAATCATATTAATTTATTCACTCCCTGCAGTCAGTGAATACACTTAATGCTACAGTATTTTCTTCCCAGCTAAAGTAGTAGAGAAAATTATCCAAGGTGGGTTTTTTCATTTTATTAAATACTGTTTCATCTTCCTGCCACCTGATCCAGCCTGGCTTTCTGCAAGGATACTTCCAACTGTGTAACTGTTATTTCTGCAGCTTCCTTCTCTCATTTAACAGTGGGTACACTAATATGGTCAGAACATAGCACTTTAAATGTATAGGTTTAAAAAGCATTTCTGCTCTAACTAGACCAATTTGGGTTGGGGAAAAAAGTAATCATAGCAGAAAAGTTTAAAAAAAAGTGTAAACATGTAGTTACTGAAGAAGCTTTTACCTCATTTAAAATACACACAGGGAAACAGCTGTTTTCTATAAAGGAAGAGAGGCAAGGAAATAAAAAAGCAGTGAAGTAAGTCTGGAGAAATAAGAGTTAAAATGGCAATAAATAAAAATTACCAAATGAAATATTAAGACTTTTTTTATACCCTACTTCTGGAAAAATCAAAAGAAGAATAGCATCTAAAATAAGAACCTCCTACATGATTTCCAGACTGACATTTCATTGTGAATGCTCAGTACTGGACTCACATTCAACATAATTACCATCAGTGTCAACTGAACGCTACACTTACTGCAAAAAAACCTTTCCCTCGCTTCATTATCTCCCTGTAATTATGAAATATGTTACAGGATGGCTTTTGCAGCTTGTCTCCCCCTCCTCATGCTAAACACTGTTGTTAAATCTTCTTCCCTGCCATTTCTGACACTTAAAATGTCATTCTTTCAGTGTTGACTCTGTAATATAACTCTGACAAGCACAATCACTCCTAAAATATAATTTAATTATGGAGTGTTTACTCCTACTAGGGGCTTGTATTGTTTGACATCCTAGACTATTACCCACATCAGTTTGTCCTACCTGAAAGCAGGCAATAATCTGTCCAAGATTCTACTTTTTTAAATGGAATATTTTGGATTACTTAACAACTTAAAGAAAATTATTGCACTAAATAAGTATACTAAAAAAAACCCAAGGTAGATTCTAACAAAAGTTTATCTTCGGTTCACCATACATGCTCTAATACCAAAATATGTATTTTTCCAGTCACTAGTAAGCAAAATATAACTTTTCTTTTCCTTAAGAGGAAGAAATTAGAAATAAACTACGGTCCTAAATCTTGTCAAGAGGAAAGCTACAACGATCCCCTTTGAACTCGATCACGACAATCTTCAAACAGAAACAAACAAAAGTCAATTGGCCAATTGCCACTGTAGCTACCTGAGTAGATGAGAAGTCCACACTGTGAAGAAATTTGCAGTTTGCTCCCAGTGCCTGCAGAGATGCATCCATGATGCCTGAGCAGCTGCCCAAGTTGACTATTTGCAGGAATTGGCAGTTGAGTGCCAGAGCCAGAACTCCACTGTCAGTTATATCACAGCACCTTTTGAAAGAGGCTTCTCGCAGGTAGGGACAGGACAAGGCCAGTGCTATGACTCCTGCCAAAGAAACAACACTTCAAAGAGTTATTCACTCTCTAACATAGCCACCATGCTGAGTCCAAAGGCTCTGAACAGGTTTTGAGGAAGGAATAATTAAGATAAAGTGGAAAACATGTTGAGCATAGCATGGTTTTAGCAGAAATCTAGCAGCAGAGTAACCTGATAGCTCTCTCCTAAGATAATTACTGCTCTAGGCCTGAAATTCACACCACTGGAGAGACTTTTAATTAGTACTGGGGTAGCATTGGGGATTTCTTTTTTAAGCAATATTTACCCTAGATATATTCTTTGCAATTTATTCCAATCTAACAAGAAAAATAAGCCAGAATTAAGATCCCAGTTATCTGTGAACAGATAACACACCTTCTGAAGTAATTCCAAATCTGTTCTCCTTGCAAGAATTTAAGTTGATTTTTTTCAGCTGCTTGCAGTTATAAAGCTGCAATAATGCATTGTCTGAAATATCACAGTCTCGGAGGTCCAGAGACTCCACAGCAGGGTGCAACACCTGAAATGAAAACCCACAGTTCAGTCAATCTCTGCTTTGCCATCAAACACACTCTTATGCATTTTTACAGCAAATACTTGTAATATTACACATAACATACAAGTTTGCAGTAGAGGATGGGGTTACTGTGGTGGTGTTCACAGGGGTCCCAGGACCAGGGAAGAGATAAGAATCTTGACTCCATGTTTCAGAAGGCTGATTTATTATTTTATTATATATATTATATTAAAAGAAAATTATCTACTAAGACTATACTAAAATAATAGAAGAAAGGATTTAATCAGAAGGCTAGCAAAGGAATAGAAAAGAGTGGGATGAGAAAATCTTGTGACTGACCAGAGTCTGACACAGCTGGACTGTGATTGGCCATTAATTAGAATCAACCACATGAAACCAATCACAGATCCACCTGTTGCATTCCACAGCAGCAGATAATCATTGTTTACATTTCTTTTCTGAGGCCTCTCAGCTTCTCAGGAGAAAAGATCCTAGCAAAAGGAATTTTCATAAAATATGTCTGTGACAGGGTTACCAGTCCCAGGAACTAAAACCCACAGAAAATCCGGTCTATTTGTGCACCAGTTCAGCTCCCACAGCACAAACTGTTTCTGTGACACATGGAACAAGAACACATTAATACTGCCACTCAAACTATGGAAATACAATCTTGGTGGTTCACTTGCCACATGTGTACCCAGGACAAAGCCCTCACGCTTGCTAGCAAAACTTTGGAGGCAGAAATCTGAAGTGCAAAACAAAAAATAGTGATTTTGATCAAAACTTCAACCTGCATAACAAATAAGAATAATATTTAGAAGGAATTTCCCTCCAAAGTACTTTTTCACCCACACACACTCTTTTGCTCATAAACAGGCACCCTCATTACCATACCATGAAGAGATACCAAATCCTCATTAAATGGGATCTTTCACTCCCACAAGACCCAGACTGGAATTTTTGGATATCTTTCCCAAGAGAACATTTATAAAAGTTAGACCCAAAGCAGTGGAAGGCATCAGATTTTAGTAACAACAGCCAGATACTCCCTTCAGCTTGTCACTCCCATCCTTCACTCCCAGGGACAGAAATATGAATTTCCATAAACTAGCAAAGATAACAGCACAGCTGAAAGGCTTGTTAAAGGCCTATTCCTCCCGTTGTTCACTCTAACAATGTACAATAAAGATACTCCAAGGCAAACTGGCTGTTTTGCAAATATGTAAGATTTTGAGATAGACAAAGGGTTGTCTGGATGCAGCACACAAAAAAAAAGACATTTAAAAATGTCTTTTATATTTTATTTATATTTTGTGGACACTTGCTGAATGGTTTTATAAAACTTTATGGTAAAAGGGATTTAGAATAAGGAGTTTGGCTTGCATGTGGATGGCTGCTCCAAGCAAAAAGCAGAGTAAGGGGGGGAAAAGATGCATGGTAACACAAATTTGGACAAGAACACAGAGGTGAGAGATTAAATAGAAGTACACACAAAAGTTCAGATTAACAATTTCAACTGAAATTTAACTTCAAGCAAAATTATTTAAAAATACCCTTGAAAAACAGAGGAAAGACGTGAAGGACATGAATAAATGTGATACTGCTAGCAAAGAAAGTTAAGAAATAACATGCCCAGGGAAAATGATGACAACAAAGGATATAATTACAGAAAATTGCAGGAACATAGAAAGGAAAAACACATGAAAAAAGAACCAGAGCAGAATTTCCCAGGGTCACATGGAAAACAGGCTCCAAGAGAAGGCACTGATGAACTGCTGAATGAAGGCAAATACAGAGGAGACTTTAGAAAGAAACAGCAGAAAAGTCTGTAAATTAAGGTCTCTAGTTCATTTCCAGGCTAAAAATATCCTAATGGATTTTGTGCATTCCTACACACACAATCACATGGCTTTAAATATATAATCTATTATGATGTTGTAAAATTATTCCTTACTGGAAAATTAGCCTAAACCAGATTTTGTCCAGTCAATTTTTCCAAACAACTTGATTTTTTTCTCAAACACTTAATTTGTGTAAGCACAAAATCATTTTACCTGAAGCTAAATTGTTCTGTTTGTAAGTTTTCCACATTGCTTCTGCGTCTACTCTTGGCTCTTTCTCATGACTCTGAGAAAGTGAGAATATTTGTCTCTTGAATTCCAGGTCTCAGCAGGAATGCACAGGGAGTCATTCATTTTCTGTTTCACCAAGGCCAACCTTTAGTTTCCTTCAATTCGCACGCCTCCCTTTGAGGCTGAACAAGATAACAGTAAGTAGATACAAAACAGATGGGCTGCTGAATTTACAGCTGAAGAAATGTCATTAACTGGTGTCATACTGAAACACTGACACACAGCAGCATGCAAAAGGGATGGGATAATTTGAACTACTGATTCCTAGCTTTGCCATCATTATATTTCAAGGAACCAAAATTTAAATAAATTATATGGGGATTGTGTGCTTAGTGTCAATTGAGTTCTACCAACAGAATTTTCTAACAAGCTGCTGAAATCCTTTATATAATATATGTATTAAATAAATTATGCATGAGTATCTTGAAACACACTTCACTCAGGAACAGACTAGTGTGCAAGAGAGGCTGCTTTCCTCTCCCAAAACAGACAGTATGGATTCTTACCTCACTGATATTTTCATCAGTTATTTGCCCTTGCCTACTCATTAATTTGATCAGTTTATCCTTTATATTGGGTGGCAATGACTTAATATCTGCAGAGTATCTGGAAAGATTCTTTGTCAAACACTGAAGGCATCTGAAACAAAAGAAAGTTACAATACAGTCAAAAAGAAGCATTACATGGTAGAACTAGAACAACCAATCCATCTTTTGTCATCTTCTGCACCCAGCCATGGTTCCCTCAGACCTTATTAGCTTCAGCTGTTCCATGTTATCACTGATTCAGCTGTTGCCCTTTGGGGTCAAGCTGATCCTTCTGTGAACTGTTCCCTAAGCAGCTGAAGGCAAAAATCAGCCCCTCAACCATTTTTTTCTGTGCCTTCCTCAAGCTGCCTCTGAAATTCACAGTTGCAGTGTGGACTGTTAAGTGTCTGATCTGAATGAAAATCCCCTTGAACTCTGAGGACACAGCAACAACACTGTCAGGACAAGTGGCTGAGTGCAGGGGGCAGCAGCAGCCTGGAGTAATGCCAAATTAAATTCAGCATATAACCACAGGTAACTGGTTTTGCAACAAAACTTTGTCTGGCATCAGAGTGCCACCAAACTGCAGGAAATTAAACTCACACCAAATAAAAACTTTAAAGACATCAACATATTAATGCTTTATAATCTGAAGGGTAGCACAGACTTAAGGCAGGAAAGAAGCAAGATTTCCAGCATGGAAGCACATTTAAAAAATGCACTGAAGTTCATACAGTGTAGCACAAGCACCTCTAGCAGGTCACTGCAAGAACACTGCATGGAGGAGACATTTCAAGCAGAACCTGGGCCTTGCCTGCAGACACCCCTATATACCCAAGCAGACACCAGGACCACCTGTAACTCATTCCTGCAGACACGTGCAAGAACTCCACACCTTCACAGAACCTCAGTGACTGCTGGATGAACTCCTGACGGATCAACAGAGAAGCCTGTACCAAGCTCTGCCTCAGCACATACAGGTTACACCATCCACATTCTTTGTTCTGAGATTAAACACTTGAATCTATACACAACATTCCTCTACTTGACTGCAGAAATTAAGACTAGTTGTTCATCTCTAAAAAAAAATAAAATCTCAAAGATAATAAACACACCATTTATTATCATCTCTGAAGACCATAGATGTGAACCTGCTCACAGGCAGGATCTGTGCAACATGGTGAGCAGAAAGCAGGGGCTTGTCTCACTAATGCACCTCCAAAAGGGACCTCTAAATCTAAACAACTGCTTAGTTCAAATCTAGAGAAAATGCTCCAAACCCAACCCAGATACATTGAAATCAATTTGAGCTAGGCCAACTCTTACAATGGCATATTAAATTTAGCTTGAATGGTTATTCAGATAAGTCACCTTCTTTTCAAAAAGCTGTTTGCTATTTTCATAGCAAAATACTGACCTGCAGTTTACACATTTAATCATTTAAATAATACAAGTTTTCACAGTAATTCTACTTTATAGGAAACTATAAAACACTTATTGGCTACACCATGGCAACTATAATCTTGTCTTCAGTGCTTTAAGGTACAAATAACAATCTAACTGTACTCTTTGCTACATATTCTTCTTTTATCTTTCAAATGAAATATTTTATTCCTGTGCAGTTTCTAACTTCCTCCAGAACACAAAGGAATTTGACATAGATAGATAATGTAGAGAATAGAAATATTCAGCTCCCCTTCAGAATTGCAAGGCTGAGCTTAAAGACCTACCAGCAAATTACATAAAATAATAAAAAAGAAGACACACAGGGTGCTAAATGTAGCTGCAACCAGTGGGCAAACAGACAATGAGAAATACAGTGGCTTTTGTGCAAAGTTAGGTAACAAGAAGCAACTGTGCATGTCCTCAGAAAAGTTCAAGGCAAAGTCACCCTTTGCAATACTGGGGACACTTGGTGACCACCAGAGACCTCTTCAGACCCTCTAGGACCACAATGTTATAAATGAGAAGTTTGACTAGGCCAATATTCAAGCAGCAATCAATTTATTCATTAATATGGTAAAGTATGAGCAATACAGCGCTGGGCACAGTGGGGGAAGTTTTCCCTCCAACTGCACCCCCATAGTTACAGGTATTTATAGGGGTACTCATAAGCTTGCTCAGCAGTTTCTATTCCCAATTTTTATGTCACAATTCTATACACTATTGTGATTTCGTCTTCTCAGTATGTACATCCTGAAAGGAATATCCCAGCTGGTGAGGTCCAGCTCTCCAGATGTGAGTCCAACTTTTAATTGCAAGGACTATAAATCTCATAAGAGTGATGTCCAGCTTCCCTTGGTCAAAACTCTTCATCCTTGAGTTGATGTTCATCTTCCTTTCTCAAGCTGCTTTTCACTGTTTTGTTGAGGTGTGAGATAAGCATGTTCCCTTTTTATATATTTTAAAGCTATTGTTTCAAAGATCCTTACTACAAGCAATATTCTAAAATTAGACTTCAAAAGGTTATGATTGCAAAACTCTTTATGGCTTACCTACAAGCAGAAAGCTCTTGTCAAAAAGCAACATCTTAAAACTTTAATTCAAATCAACTTAAGACTTATAAAAGTTAATTGTGAACAAAGGACAGATTCAAAGGCTTCTTCCATGCTTTACTTTCCTCAGTTATTTATTAGAATTCGTCTTTATAACAGTCCCACGGTCGGTCTCTGCACATACTGCAATCACAAATACACACATTGCGTGTATGTACCTGACAGGAAGCACAGCTTTGTATTTCACAACAACAGGATTTCCAGTGAGACATGGATGCATGAAAATTAGTTGAAGGACAGTGATGTTTATGTATTAGCCAGCAAGCATGCTTTAAAGAACACGTATGGAATGGACACTTGTAAAGTGTCTATAGAGCACTATGGAACACACATCTTGTAACGTGTCAGGATATACTCAGAGGAAAAATCCTCCAAATGTGTCCAGTTATGCAATAAAGAATGCCTGCTTTCTAATACTTCAAATTGTGTAAGAAAACCTGTTTTCTAGCCAATTTCTGTATCAACATGGATAAAAACACAAAGCAAAACACCATTCAGTGGATTCTCTGGGGCAAGGTGAAGCCAGGGATCCTCAGCCGCCCCTGCACACCCGGATCTGTCAAGTGTCACATCCTGTTACATGCCTGCCAAACCTCGTCACCCCTGTCACCTGCCCTGTCACACCTCCCGAGGGGGCAGCTCTGACGATCCCCGCCACCTCTCCCGCCGCTCCCGAGCGCCGCCGGGCCCTGCCCGCCCCGCACTCGCTGCGGCCGCTCCAGCACCGCCGCCCAAGGCCTGCCCCCCTCCCTGAGCCCCTCGCAGGGCGGGCAGGCGGCAGCAGCGTGTCGGTGTCGGGGCGGCACTCACAGGTCCAGGAGGAGCCGGACTTCCTCGCCAGCGCCGTCCCAGCTCATGGCAGGGAGCGGGGACTGCGGCGGGGCCCGAGGAAAGTGATGGGGAGCGGGGAGAGCGGGGATGCCGGCCCGGCCCCGGCCCAGCGGTCGGTGCCGAGATGGCGGCGGCGCGCGGAGGATGACGGGAGATGTAGTCCTGATCCCGGCCCGCCTTGGGAGCGCCTCACGAAGCGGCCTGGAGCGCTGAAACATCCCACAGTAAAAAAACCGGGGCTCTCACTCCCCATTTCCAGAAGTTAATGTAATAAGTAGCAATACGTTTGTTAATTAATAGCTAGATAATTTAAATTATAAAACAATAGCTAAACAGCTCTTGTTTAGCAGGATATAATGTATACCTATGTGCAGTCACATATGGTAAAACCTTTAACTTCGTAAGAATTGCTTTGTTTACAAACCCCCCTCATAGGTATAGGAGACCCTCTGTAACTAGATACCATCACATATGGTAACAATTATTAACCTTGCAAGAACTGCTTAGCTTGTAGAATTTAGACTTATGGATATGCCTTATAAGGAAAGTGGCCAAAGAGGAAGACTTGGGGCCTTCATCCCACGACCACCAGAAGGCAGAGAAAGACCCCCTAGCAACTGGAGGAGCAAGCACAGAAGACAGAGCACGTCATCCAGGGATCCGGGAGGAGAAGACAATAAAAAGCCAACTTAAAGGGGGGAAAGGTGCGCGCCTAAGAGGAGCGGGGACTCCTGGCCACCCAGCGCTGAACCTTGCTTACTCTTGCTTGCATAAAAATAAAGATAATTATACGATTCTTAAATTTGGTGAATTCCTTTATTACATTAATAGTTCGGAGAAAGCGGTCTCTCAAGCCTGGAAGCGGTACAGGGGAGGCTGGGAGCCTTCAGGCAAGGGCCACAGTGGTTTTAAGGGCTTTTTCCTCCTTCCTGCCATCAGTAGAGGCATTCCACAGCACCCGGTTTCCTGTTAGCATGTCTATCTGCAGCGATAAGAGCCAGCTCTTTTGTCCTGCAATTAATTTTGTCTTTGTTTTTTGGGTTATATTTTCTGAAAAATCCCTTCTTTAGGATTTTTCCTCCTGAGAAGCTGAGAGGCCTCAGGAACAAAATGTAAACAATGATTATCTGCTGCTGTGGAATGCAACAGGTGGATCTGTGATTGGCCCATGTTGGATGTTTCTAATTAATGGCCAATCACAGTCAGATGGCTCAGACAGAGCCCAAGCCACCAGCCTTTGTTATTCGTTCTTTCTTTTGTTATTCTTAGATAGGATTTCATCAGAAGGCTTTCTTCTATTCTTTTAATATAGTTTTAATATGACTTATATAATAAAATAATAAATCAAGCCTTCTGAAACATTGAGTCAGATCCTCTCTTCCCTCCTCCTCAGACCCCTGTGAACATGGTCACAGTCTTGGTTCTTTTTCCTTTCCTTTTTATATTCCTGCTTTGTCTTAGGTTGCAAATACAAGATGTGGCCAGGGGTGTGTATTCTATTTCCATCTGTTAGAGGTCAGGCAGTTATCTTCTGTTAAATGTGCCACCTGTTAAAACCAGGTGGGGCAGTTTTCTTCATCTCTTCCACAACCCATCCTCCCTCCAAAATATCTTCTGTTAATGGGCCATTGACAAAACCCCCTAAAGTCTGCATGACATAACTGCATGACTGATAAAATTACATCGTCCCATTGTGAGATGCTGTGTCCAGGGGGAGGAGCCAAACATTCCTACCTGGATAGAATCTGAGATTTGGAACACCAGTCAGCCTTTTCCCACTGGATTCCCAGAGGAGCAGCTTTCTTCTCCCTGGATTCCCAGAGGAAGACCAGGCCACCAGGTCTACAAAACCACTAGACCTTCAGAGGAAAACTACACCCTTCTGCAGGATCACTGCTTCAACAGATGCTGATGCATGATGATGCTGCAAGGTCTACAAAATATATTTTATGATTGGGGAATTAGAAATATCCATTAGTGGCTAATTGGATGATTCAAGTTGTACCATTACAGTGAAAGCTATAAAACCCCCTAAAGAAAAATTGCTTGTATGTGACCAGTTTGACTGTGAGACCTCATGCACATAATTGAACATTTATCCTTGCAATGCCATTCAGTCATCATGAGCCAATTGCTGAAACAAAGGTCAACAGACTAAACAGTTTTTGTCTGTTAAAAATGCATTTATGAAGCTGGCTGAGAGAAAGCATTAGAGCCCACACTCTATGAAATGCTTCTCTAGAAGCATTTATGTTCCATATAGATTTCAGTGGGTTTAAACAGCATTTTTACCTCTTTCCTTTTTTTGGTTAGTGTTCAATAAGCAAGTGGTTAGGTATACATTCCATCAAGCTACTATATTTTTAGCCAATTGTTAATGCAAAACCAGACAGTCTCCCTTATCTCTTACCTGCACATATTATATCCAGCTGCTTGTCTTCCTGTTTTGCCAGTTTTGCTTCCTAAATTTCCTTGCCATTGTTAGCTATTCTGTTAAGCAAAATTAAGACATGAATTTCAGTAAAGTTATAGTCATGTCAATACTTTAAGTCACATCTGCTAATTACAAACTCCTGGTTCCATTTGCAGGCCTCCCTGAAGGATCCCTTCCCTGGAGTCAGAAGACATGATAAAGCTGTAGCAAACTGTGTGGTACTGATATATTCTGAGTGACAAACCTAAACAGCACACAGGCCTGTGCTGACCTGAGCAACCAGCTCTTTTCCCATTTTTCACAAGATTCAGTTCACCACTTTCCTCAGCAGTGAGTCTGGAAGTGGGTAGTGTTATGAAGTTCTATATGTCTAATTTAATAAACAACAAAATTTAATTCAGCAGGAATGTTAATTGAACAGCAATTTTGTATAAATGAATACAGTCAAGTATATTAAATATAATCAAGCATATACAAAAATTTGGCAGTGATTATTTAAGTATGATTAAGGTTCGTATAAAGCATAAGCAAAACCAGCCAGGGTACGGGGAGGGCTTCTCATCCTGCCTCACATGGGTAACAAAAGAATCCAAACCAAACCTTATATACTGTATACTAATGCATATTCACCAATAATTTTCCATAAATCTGCTCCTATTTTCAATTCTTGAACTCTACATCACTGTACTGCACAGCACATGCTCCACTCGTTGCTAAGGAGTCCCCTGGCTCTTTGGTCGTCTTTTTGGAGGAAGGCTTGCTGTCTTCCTCGCTGTCCTCTGAATAACCTGGCAGGTTGTGTATGTGCACTAAGCTTTGTGTTGTGTAAATAAGCATTATATTCCAAATAAACCTTATTATTTCATAGAGACCATTACTTCAGATCGCATACGTGGAATCATCCCAACTTTGCTCATCCCAAGGCTGATTCTGTTTTAGGATCTTGCTTATATCAATACCACATCCTGTATCCTGCTTCTCTCACATGTAACATCTGCAAAGGGCAAATCTGTTTTCCCTTTATTACCTTATAACAAATATTTTCTAAAATATTGATATAGTTATGATTTAGTTAGCACAGAACATATCCATTTATCACAGTCATAATATAGCTTGGGTAGGTTTACTGTTCCTCAGCTTCTCAGCTGGAAGTAACTAAATAATTAGCCCAGGAACTGTCTTGCCTCAGGAGCTGCATCTGAAGCAGGACATGAACTGCCAAACTTCACACACCTATGCTCTGTCTCAAACTGGCATCAGATTATCCCAAGGAGCAGACACAGGCTGCTCTTAAACTGGTTTGACTGCAGGCAGATGCAGGAAGGACTTCAGCCACATCAGCCTGAACACGTGGAGAAGCTGTACTGATAAAGCACCAGGATATAAAGAGTGACTCAGGAAGGTCTAACACTGACTCTCTACAAAGAGTGAGGCTTGTGCTGGTATGTGGGGTTATTCCTCCCCAGCTGCAGAAAAGCACTTGCCTTGGCTGAGCTTCATTATGTTCCTATCTGCTGATCTCTCCAACCTGTCAGTTGTGAGGACAACAATTCAGAGGCACATTGTGATGTTGTCAGATAAAAAAATCATCTGTACCCTTGTGGGCTAATACAACACCTATTCTTCAAAAACCACTGGCCTATGGAACTACACAATTTCCATTCTGCAAGAAGAACTGGAAAGCAGCCAGCCCATGTGCCAACTTCTACCAGTTCACCAGACAGTCAGGTATCACTTTGGGGTCAACCACCAGGGATCACCTAAGAGACTCCCAGGACAGAAGACTATGTGCATAAAGGGGTGGGAAAAAGTTAATGATTCCAGGAAAATTATCATCCTCTGTATGTTGATTCTGGAAAAATCAATGAACATGCATGTAAAATACAGCATTTAAAAAGGAGCTTTTCTTCATTCAGCATGCACAATATTTCAGAGGAGATATCCCCTCATGCATCCAGCATTCAATAAAGAATATCAGCTTCATAATACTACATTAAGGGTGTTTTTTTATTATTATTTTTATCCATTTTTGGGAACAATGAGTAACATCAACCACTATTTCCAGTTTTGAACCATCTATAAACTTGGCAGCATGCACTTTTCATGTGACATTGTCAAGGTCATTAAGGAAGATGTTGTGTGATATGACCTTAGTGTTGACGCAAGGGATTGGTCTCCAGAATGTCTTTGTGCTGCTGATTTTTGAACTCAGAAGCTGAAGCTGTTTCCAATCTACCTCACTATATAATTATCCAGTCCATACTGGGCTGGAGAGAAACCTGATCAAGCTCAATGGAAACCTCATCTGGTTAAACATGCGCCTGCTCATTGCACGGATGTTGCACTAGGTGACCTTTAAAGATCCTTTTCAACCCCAACTGCATTATAAAGACTAAGGCAAATATGGTATTCAGAACCTAAATCTTTCTATGTCTGCTTTGTAGTGTGAAGTTCTGGTCCAGTTGAATCTCAAAAGGAAGAAAAAAAAAAAAAAAAAAGAAGGCACAAGATGCTTAAGAGAAAAATGTCATCATCTTATTACAGGGGTTCCATACTGTTGTCCTGTTGTCTCCTTATCACAAAAGTTCCATACCTTCTTGGTGTTTCTCACAGGCACATCTTCCAAGCACTGACTCCAGTTCCCTTCTCACCCAGCCACCCCACTCTTTCATAGCATCTTCTT